GTGTGTGTGTGTGTGAATTACTGACAGCGATATGGTTACTTGTACTTACGTTCTCTAACAGTTCAATAAATCCAATTACAAATGCAAACTCCGTCTACAGACACTCCATAAAATTGTGACAATATCAAATTCTTCTGAGGAAGCTAAAAGTAAAAAGTAAAGTTATCCCAGTACTTAATTATATAATTAAGCACTACACCATGAAGGTGGTATAGCTGCGCCATTCTTAAACATCGGCAATATATGGAGGTGAGTGGCCAGTTTCACCCCCCGTCACATTTCCACCGAGGATACAGCACCCGTACACATTGGTTAGGACAAGGGGTTGACCCCACAGATGGTCTGGACTCTGTGAAGTAGAAAAAAGATCTTCCCTTGCCGAGAATCGAAGCCCGGTCTTCCAGACCGTAGCCTTGTCGCTATACCGACTGATGTCAAGTACGATTAATATTTCTGCAACAAGCTGTACGGAATTAAATCGATAACGAATTTAAAATCATTTTTAAACTTTTAAATAAGAAGAATAAACCCTTTAATTGCCTGTGTGTAATTTACATTCAAGGTCAGCAAGCCAAGGACGGAAGGTAAGACGTCAGTTCACACCCAGCGGTGCAGTTGTCAAATCACCACCAAAATTTTTTTTATTTCTCCAATTTATTATACAATCTATCCAGCTATTTTGGATAATAAGTACTAGTTATGATGAGTATAAAAGTAATTTACCATGAAGAACGTGTTCCAATGAGCTCGTTCTATATGTAATTTAACTAAATATAGTCAACTAGTTAATTGTTTTACAAAATTAGATAGGAAATCTGGTTAACAGTTCTGACGGTTTAAATCTGTGAAGCCTCCTGTCTTTTTCTTCATCGTAGAGGTGCGTCGCTAAGGAATTCGGGTGCTTCCGGAGGCGTGCCTGATATTTTTTACTGGAGAGCGTGATTTCCTCGCGTACTGTTGGAATTCCCAGGTCCTTGTGTAGGACGAAGTTTGGTACGTACCATGGTGCGTTAACTAGTACACGCAGTACCATATTTTGGAATCGTTGAAGAATTTCGATGTTGGAGTTGCTAGCGGTACCCCATAAGGGTATGCCATAGGTCCATATCGGTTTTAGTATAGTTTTATATAATAGGATCTTGTTCTCTGTTGAGAGCTCCGAATGGCGTCCCAGCATCCAATACATCTTGTGGAATTTAGTTCTGAGCTGTGTGCGTTTGGTCTTGATATGTTTTTGCCATGTGAGTCTTTTGTCCAGGTGCATGCCAAGATATTTGGCGTCGTCTGCTTGTGGAATTTGAGAATTATTGAGTTGTACTGAAGGGCAGTTGTCATGTTTCATGGTAAATGTTACATGAGTAGACTTATCTTCCTTGGCCTTCATGCGCCATTTGTTGAGCTAATGTTGGATGTGATTAAGGTGATTTTGTAAGTGCAAGGAAGCGATGAGGGGTTGCTGTGTGACGCCAGGATAACTGTGTCGTCAGCAAACGTGGCTGTGGTTATTTGTTGAGTTGTAGGGAGATCAGCTGTATAGAGCAAGTATAAGACAGGCCCCAACACGCTGCCTTGGGGTACACCAGATAATATTGGATACAGGTCTGTGTATACTTCCTGCTGTTTTATGAGGTAGTACCTTTGTGTGAGATAGGATCGCAGTGTGGCATACATTTGATGTGGTAGTGCTTGTTTTAATTTGTAGCATAATCCCACATGCCATACCTTGTCAAAAGCTTGACTGATGTCAAGGAACATTGTTGAGCAGTATCGTTTTGCTTCGAGAGCTTTGTTGATTGTGTTGACCACCCTATGGACTTGTTCTGTGGTGGCGTGTCTGTTTCTGAATCCAAATTGATGTTTAGGGATTAAGCTTTGGGCTTCCAATACCGGATTAAGTCGTTTCAGGAGTAATTTTTCCAGTACTTTAGAGAGGACTGGGATCAAGCTTATTGGTCTGTAGGATGTGACTTCTGTTTTGTTTTTTCCAGGTTTTGGGATCATAATGATTTGTGATACTTTCCATAGTGATGGATAGTATTCTAGTCTTAACACAGCATTGAATATATGCGTTATTTTTTGGATGCATGGTTTCGAAATTTCTTGTAAGACTTTCCCTGTGATTAAATCAAATCCAGGAGCTTTCTTTGGATTTAGATCCTTTTTGATGATTGACTCGACCTCTTTGTATTTGAAATTGCGCATAGGTTGATGCATCTGATAGGGAGCGTCAAGGTAATTATGGATTTCATTTTCTTCAACTGGTGTAAGTTTAGTGCCATATGGTTGGAACACTTTGGAAAGATGTGTGGCGAATGTTGTGGCCTTCTCTTGGTTATTTCGTGCCCAGTTTCCGTCGGCAGTTTGCAGTGGTGGTACTAATTCCTGAGGTCTGTTCAGTTTCCGTGTTGCTTTAAAGAGTGAGTAGTTGGTGGTGTCGGTTGCGGTTAATCCTTTGAGGTGCGCCTGGATATGTTCGTTTTTGAGGTGATGAAGTAGATTTTTTAGGTCTTTAGCTTTTTTGTTGAATATTTTTCGGTCAGAGTCGGATCTGGTGTGTTGCCATCTTTTGCGGGCTTTTCTTTTTTCCGCAATCTGTTGTTTAACGATAATTGGACATGTCTCTTTGAGGCAGTTTTCATTTCGGTCTGGGGTGGCTTGCCATGCTGCCGTTTGTATGGTTTTGGTTAGTCTCTCAACTTCAGAATCGATGTCGGTTTCTGTTTTTAGAGGAGTTTCTAGTACAACTAGTGAATCCAATATTTCGCGAAACAAGTCCCAGTCTGTATATTTGCTATGTAGAGTGGGTTCTTTCCGTTTTTTTTTTTTTTTTGAGCATATAGAGTAAGTATGATTGG